ACTCATCTCAAAAATGAAGCTGGGTAGTTTACAAAATGCTTTTCCCAAGCCCTTCGAGTCTTCCACCTGCCTGAAGTTTAGACCTGACGTTCTGGTATATATGACGTCAAAACAGAACCTCTGTCCATCTGCTGGGGCCTTCTGTCAATGACACACCCCTGAGGCCCACCCTGTGCTCCCTATCGTAGACCCCTGAGGAGTTCTGGGTGCACTGTTTTCCTATTCCTCTAACTCTACTGGGGCGGGCAATCCTCTGTGCCAGTGATGTTGATGAGGCCTGGGAGGCGGCAGAAGGGCTGGGGCAGCAGGAAGCAGGGACCGTGCAGATCCAAAGACAGGGCCTCTATGGGTTCTGATGCCTCCTTCTGGCCTTGATTCTGGCCAAGCCTGCTGGGGCAGTGGCCTGCACACACCCTCCTGAGCTCTAGTGCAGGAACTGTGCCATCATGCTAACGCCTCGTCCCCCTCCCCACCATGCGCCTTTCCTAGTGGCGACCAGTGGCAGGCTCTTATTTTTCATCATTGGGTCACAGCATGTTGTAATAAGGCGTGCCACATTTTTACATCGGAGGTATGTAGAGGCAGCGTGCTGGGAGCATAGGGGTTTGCTAGATTTCCATGGTGTAGGGATGCGTGGTTGTGGATAAATCTGAGAAGCAAAAAATATGTCCCGTGCTTTACACAGAGGATGGTGGACCCAAGTAAGCTCTCGAGAGTTGTTATGGTTCCCAGGCTCCTGGGACCCAGGGGGTCTTGGTGGGGCAGAGGGAGCCTTCAAGGCGGGACTGGGGACAATGCTGCCAGAACCTTCCTCCTCATGGGCTCATGTGCCCATGACTCCCTCCTCCTAGCAGGGGACCCCACAGCCCATCCCCTGCCTGCTCAGTCCCTCCCTGCCTCCAGCTGGGCCCCTGACCAGAAGAGAGAGGTACTCTTGGGCAGTGGCATGAGTGAAAGGCTGGGAAGACATAGGCTTCTCCAGATGTGGTGTTTCAGGAACTGGGAGGCTCTTTGGGAGAGTCACGGTCTGCACTGGGGTATTCCCTGGCCCGTGGCTGCTGAGGAGACAGTCTGTCTTGGTGAGTCCGGCCCTGAGCTTCCCATCTTGGCTTCATGAGAGGCTCACAGACTCCCTTCTCAATGGACCCCAGCCTTTTATCATGCACAGTTTCAGTCCCCGGCAGCGGTGAGAGCCAGAAGCCATTCGTTTACTAAGCCAGCGGACACTCTGCTTTCGCCTGTGGAAGGCCTTGTGGAACCTCACTTTCGATCCAGCAGTCTCCCCGTGGCCGGGTACTGTTTGCAGAGATGCTTGTGATGTGCTTTGGAGGAGATGCTGCCTACAGACTTCTCCCGGCAAGAAGCGTGGAATGATGAGGGTTAGGTCACAGCAGTCTCGTCATTCCCAGGGTCTCCGTCACCTGCACTTGGCTTGGTCCATATTTGGTGCTCTGGCAGTTCTCATGTTAAGGACGCGGGAAGGTGCTCAACCCAGGAGAGCGTCTTGATTAAGAAGAAATGTGATCGTGATCAAATGAGCTTCACGGCCTGTGCTTCTATAGCCTACCGTTCCCGACACCCGGAACAGGGTCTAAAGGATAACCCGATATGACGATCGCAGCGGTGAGGCAGGACCAGGCCCAAAGGCGCTCTCGTGACTCGTGATCCCATCCTGGTGGGAAAAGAAGTGACAGAGGTAAAAAGTCGCCCGCACAACTGACCCAAAGGCGCACCGAAGCGGAAGCGACCGGCCGCCCAGGTGACAGCGCTTGTCACCGCCCCCAAAGGTGACGATCCTGGCCTTCATGAACACAGCGTGGGCGATAGCCAGGTACTATGACGGTCAGGAGGATAGTTCCATGCAAAGTACCTGGCTGAGTGGTGACCGTCTTACATCACGCATCCCGAAGACCCCACCGTTGGCGCCATTGGGCCCAGAGGGGAGGGTGAAAGGAAGAGCAGGCCGGAGAATGGCCAGGTTGAGCAGGTGACATCAGTCCCTTGCCCCTCAGCTTTTACTTAAGTTGATGAGGATGGGGCGACCAACCCAGGTTACGAAGCGGAAATGAACCACAGTGAGTAGGGCGGAGGAGGCAGGGGCTTGGACCGTTCTGCCTCCGATAAGTTTTTCTGTACAGTCTTGGCTATGTCGTAATTAAATGGTGTGGTGGTGGGTTCCTCGTTGCCCCCCTGGTTGCCGGGTTGTGAACAGAGACTGGGGTGTGGACAGCGCTAGGGTAGCTGAACAGAGGCGTGTCGTTGTAAGCCATCTTCCCTCCGCCCTATAAATCGGAAGAATGGCCACACACCCGGCGTGCTCGGCCGCCGTCCCAGTATTAAAATGTCCCCATTTCCCTTCAGCCCCACATTGTGACCCGTCTTCTGACCATCACCTTGAAAGCTTCCTTTTAGCCTTCTTCCTTCTCCTTCAAGCGAATGCCGCTTGTCGACCTCCGGCGTTTCTCAACACCCCGGGCCTTCCCAGGGGGGGGGAGGGCGAATGCAGTGCAATGCACCGATTAAGGGCTGTGAGAGGCCCAGGGTGACTTTGGCGGATCGGATGACACCTGAACCTCTGTGTTGAGGTCTGCGCAAAACAGGATATCATGTAGGACTTTTCCTGTTGCCCCAGAACAGGCGGTTGCAGCCTGAGGCTGAGGGCAGGGAGGTGTTACGTACCCTCCAGTTCTAAGGAAACCACTGACACCCGGGTTACCCGTCTCCCTCAGGGGCTCACAACTGTGCCCCCAATTGTCGTGTCAACTCCTCCCACCCCAGTCCTATAAGGAGACACATCTGGGCAGGAAAGGCTCGTAGAAAAGGGTGGGACTGGTGGGGAGGTGAGAGGGGGCTCCTGTCCTCAAAGCCAAGGGTGTGTGGGGGTCTGAGAGAATCGTGCGAGGAATGGGGGGCCAGCACCTCCTTTCTGGCTGGGGCATCCCCCGGGCAGCCGGCCAGCCGGGCAGGTGAGGAGGGGACTGGAGAGCCTAGGTGGTGGACAAAAGACAGTGAGGCAGCAAGGAGGGCTCGAGGATGTGAGACGCCCCTGGGTCAAGTTCCAAACGTAGTGCCGAAGTGACCACGTCCAAAGAGTTCGCCAACTGCAGTCACTCACCGTACCCAGGGCCAGCCCTCCCCCCAGTTCACGGGAGGTCCGCTCACCAGCCCGGATGCCTCTTCCCTCATGACAAGCTGCTTCTTGGTGACTGCTGGTGGCCTTTGGGCTGCTGGCTAATCTTCCCTGAAGCTTCCCTGAAGCCCTGGCAAATCTTCCATTTGTTAGGGAAACCCGGATAAGGAGAAAAAGGCAAAGTGGAAGGAGGGGGTCCGGGTGGCTCACCCCCAGGAGGCGGCAGGGCCAGCTGCTTTGAGCGTCGTCGCGCATCGCGGATGACAGCAGGGGGAGGAGGGGCTCTGCCAAGCCCCCAACTCCACCAGAAGTCTTAAGACACCTGTCCCTGGGAATGATGATCTTCCCTGACGTCTGCTTGACTCAAACCGCCCACTCAAGTGTTCTCCTCGGGATAAAGACAGGGTTTCCGCTTCTAGAATGGAGAGGGTTGGCAACTTTTAGGTGGCGCTTTCCCTGGTGGCACTAAAATCCCACCGTAGCTATTACCACTGTGATGTAGGGTTTTCATGGAGTTAGCTACCCTCTCCTCTGGGCTCTCGGATGATTTCACATCGACCTCTATCTGCGTACTCTGCACTGTGCCTGCTGATTTGCAAACACTCCATCTTCCACCCCTCCA